CACCCAGGGTGAGCCTTCCCTTTATCCAGTCCCAGAACTATGCCAAAACCAATCAGTGGGCTAAATTTAGTAATCACACGCTCTTGATCCCAGCATCACACACTCTAGATCCAACCACATCTGAAAGGCCTTAGTGGGACATCTAGAGAAGCCATAACATGGGGCTTGAACCCAGGGCTTCACACTTGCTAAAGCAAGTGCTCTACCACTGAGCTACAGCCCAGCCTCCATTAGAATTTTTACCTTGAACAACTTCAGAATATGTTCTGACTAATGGATAAAGTCACCTTTTATTTATCTGTGTCTCTTTTATTTTAAATTTCAAAACACTGTTCTTTCCTATGTATTTTGAGGCTTGATGAGCAAACCTACCTTTAGTTATGCTTTCCTCTTTCCCTAAATCTTAATCACTTGCAAATGAAATACAGTTATGACTTCAGGCTCTGTTCTCCAAAGGAGTCCTCTACTGTGTATGCAGACTATGGGCACTTCTGAGCAGTACACTTCTTGCTTCCCTCACAGCTTTTTTTTTTTTTTTTTTTTGAGATAGGGTCTTGCTGTGTAGTTCAGGCTGGCCTTGAACTCACTGTGTAGGCCAGGATGGCCTCAAACTTGAGGTGATCCTCTTGCCTCAGCCTCCTGAGTGCTGGGATTACAAGTATGCGTGCATCATTCATACTCAGCCCTTGCAATTTTCTTAAGGCCAGTGTCTCTTAGTTGTTTTCTTTCAAGCCAGGAATGGTTTGCTGTTCATGATATTCCTCACTTATGCCAGCTTTTCTGGATAACTGTCCTGACTGTCTTTCTGTAGGCAAAGCCCCTCATCTCCTGTAAGATCTTTGCTTCTGTCCTGTGGATAGGTGGACCTTCCAGCAGAGTGGAAGGGGACTTGGAAGCAGAGTTTAGAGTAAGGCCATTCAGGTCTTTATTAATATTTCTGAGAATATGGACGCACAGCCCCTGCCCATCTTTGGGTTTTGTCTTCAAAGGACATCTGAAAAGACCCTGGGGTCAAGGTTGGGTAAACTTTAGTGACATGTCCATTCGTAGCTGTGCTGAACCCTCAGTTATGCAGCTCTGAAAGAGCCAAAAGCCCCAAACTGGCAAACGGTGGTGAAAATTACTGTAATTTTTGTTGTTTTTTGTTTTGTTTTTGAGACAGGGTCTCACTTTGTAGTCCAGGCTGCCCTTGAACTCAATGATGATCCTCCTGTTGCAGCCTCCCAAGTGCTGGGATTACAGGCATGCACCATCATTCCCAGTTTAAAAGTTTTAAAAAACATGATCAACTCGATAAGCCAAAAATGATTTCTATGTACTGTATTTATCTATTTATTGGTTGTTTTTTTAAGAGAGGGTATCGCTATTTAGTTCAGATTGGCCTTGAACTCACTGTGTAGACCATGATGGCCTCAAACTTGAGATGATTCTCTTGCTTCAGCTTTCTGAGCGCTGGAATTACATGTACCACCATCCCTGGCTTCATTATTAATATTTTATATTTCTCTAATACTTTGTGAGAAATGTATTTCTCTATTATCTTGTAATTCTTAAAATATATTGATTGTCTCTTTGTGTTTCTTCTTTGGATTGTCTGCTTATTACCTTAGCTCACCTTGCTTATCTTTTACTTATTGCTCTGTGAGTTCTTTTTAAGTATATTAATGATAGTAACTCTGTGTTGCCAATATTCTTTTTACTTTATTACTTACACGTGAAGAACTTTTTATTGGTTGTCCTTTCCTTTACAGCTGCTTCTTTTGCTTTTATAACATGATAGTTTCATTCATTTATGTTTTCTGCTTAGTTTGATGTGTCCCTTGGTCACCGTGAATTGATTGCTCTTGGTTTTGGTTTTCCTTATCTGGGCTGAATAGAAAACAGGTTGTGAACTTTGGTTTAAAAAAATATTTTTGTTGTTGTTCAATTGGTGTATGTTTGTGATATAATTACATTCATTTTTGGAAAAAATATATAAAATATTGATTATTTTTGATATCCGCTCCCACCTCCAAGAAGTCTGTAAGGCTTCAATTTTGTTACTGAAAACCCCGAGGGAGGTTTTTCCTGCTATTTATCTGAGCTGCCACGCCATTGCTCACTCTGCTTTTCTAGCTTAAGATGTTTAATGTACCTGTTCTCAGCCAGCCCCTGAGCTGTCTTTGTGAGGAGAAAGCTGCTTTCTTCTGATGGGGTAATCTCTCTCCGTGGGGGGGCTCCTGGCTCATCTGCCACACCCTGTCCCTCCTGCTTTTCCTGCTCCTTAAAGGGACCAAGCTATTCTGCCCTTCTTTAGTCTTTTTCCCCCTAGGCATTTGGAAGAAAGGAGTGGAAAGAGAAGGAGGAAAGGAAAAGCAGGAAGGCGAGACAGTGGATAAGCTCATAAAGTGAATGTCGTGTGGCGTGTCCCTGTGGTCACAGTCGCCTGTGTGATAGTCCGTCCACTCAGTGGTGGGCTGAGGGCTGTCCTGCTGTCCCGGGTACCTGTGTGTTCTGTTTTCATGGCTCTAACACTTCCTAGTCCAGGAGACAATTTTTTGTTCTGTTCAGAATCTCTTCATCATGAGATGATCTGCCAGTCTCTGTTTGGGTAATGAGGACCTTCCCAGGGGAGGGCATGTTTTCCTTTTCTGTGAGACCTCCTAAACCAGCACGTGTGTTTTGTTGAGGGTTTGGGAGGGGCAGGAAACCAGACCTGCAGATCCACTGATCCCACAGGACGTAAGAATATACTTCTGTCATGCCACCTGCTTTCCTTGTGGTTCTGAGTGTTTTTTTTTAATTTTCCCTTAAAACATTATAAAAGCAATCTCTTAGCTTCCCCCCAAAATGTTTTGAAAAATAATCTAGCAGTAAAAATTTTTTCTTTTAATTGTGGATCAAATAATTACTTAGTTTTGCATTATCAGACTCACTATTTTTCTATTAATCTTTTAAACTTAACATTGTAAGTAATGTTCTATGTTGCTATATCAATTACATAATTAAAATTTTTATTGGCTGCAAAAGTCCATTAAGTATTTAACCATCTCTCTTCTCTTGGACATTTAGATATTGTGTGTGTGTGTGTGTGTGTGTGTGTGTGTGTGTGTGTGTGTGTGTGTGTATCTTTCCTCTATACTTTTTTTCCTTTTTCTTTAAAATGGGGTCTTGCTATGTTGCCCCCAAGTGATCCTTTTACCAACTGGGCGTATTTGGCACATACCGTTTTATTTCTGTCTCTCTCTCTCTCTTTTTTTTT